GGTCATATATTTAGTTACAACTACTTTTGGTTATAATTGGATTTTTAGCAAACTCAGGAGTTAAACCATTTTTGACAGTGTATCTGGAAGGTATTGTGAGCTTGGAATAGAATGTCATTCCTATTTGCCTCTTGTTTTTGTTACAGAGGTTGCCCATACCCCAGTGAACCCCAGTATGATTAATGTGAAGACTGATGGTGGGAATTCAAATGGATTGCTGAAGAACTTCCAGGATATCATGCGAAAGCAAAGACCAGAAAGAGTGTCTCATCTTCTTCAAGATAACTTGCCAAAATGTAAGTCTCATTGTTATTTTCCTGATGCAGGGGAGAATTTGTAACTTGATCATACATCAGACTGAACATAAAATTGCACAGTGAGTTAGGGATTGAAAGCCATGACCCTCGTTTGAGCGAGTAGTTGTTCTTAGTTTTAGTGATACTGTTGGTAGCCTGCTTTCTGTCTTTTAATACCAATTATCTGCACACTGGACACTGCCAAATCTTTGACGTAAATAGTCTCTTTCACTCCTTACTAGATAAGGACTTTAAATAACTTGCCCAGAATCTTCCTGCTACTCGGTGGCCAAGCAGGGACATGAACTCAGATCTGTCTTTAACCAAAACCCAGATGTGCTTCTTAACCATTAGACTGTACTGTCTTTTGTTCTGTTCATTTTTTAGCTGTTTCCACTTTTCAGTATGATCATTTCTTTGAAAAGAAAATTGATGAGAAAAAAAACGACCACACCTATCGAGTTTTCAAAACCGTGAACCGGAGGGCACATATCTTCCCCATGGCAGATGACTATTCGGATTCTCTTATCACTAAAAAGCAGGTGTCAGTCTGGTGCAGTAACGACTACCTAGGAATGAGTCGCCACCCTCGAGTGTGTGGGGCAGTTATGTAAGTAGCCCTTAGCTTTCTAATATCATTGGTATTATTTGGCCATATATATATATGTATGTATGTATGTATGTATGTATTTTTTTTTTTTTTGCAGTTTTTGGCCTGGGCTTGGTTTGAACCCACCACCTCTGGCATATGGGGCCAACGCCCTACTCCTTTGAGCCACAGGTGCTGCCCTTTGGCAAGATTTTTATGATCTATGGGAGTTGGATCTTTTATAGAGGGAATATTCAACAGCTAACGGTGGGCCATAGAAAAATATCATTCTGGGCTTGGTGCCTATAGCTCAACTGGCTAAGGCGCCAGCCACGTACACCTAAGGTGGCGGGTTCGAATCCCCAGCCCGGACCC